TCTCACTGGTTCTGTTTGTGCCCAGCCACTTTCTGTGTTTACACAAGTGTGCGTCACTGTCAGGAGGGGTGACTTCGGTTGTCTCTCTTTCTGCAAAACCTTGCAAAATGTGTCAGATGAGCTGAAAAATAAGGCTGACATTTTTACAGATGCGAGTCTCCCATGTAACTGTCACTGTGGACTTTTGCATACTTCCACCTATCCAACATGACAGCTCTGTTTGTTCTAGACTTTGTTTCAATAGCAGCTGGTCAATTGTGGTTTGTTTTTTTTGTTTTTTTTCCAAGGCTGTTTGCTCTTGATTTTATTCAAACACTGTTGCATCCTGCAGCAGGCCGCTAGCAGAAAATGGATTGTGTGTGCTTTTTGTTTTTTTGTTTTTTTTGTTTTTTTGAGTGTGTTTTTGACTGAAACTGCTGTGCTTGTGGCATGGAGGGGAAAAAAAGGAAAGGAAAGATGATGACAGGGGTTTAGCGCTCCAAATAAGGTCAAACTATTCCAGTCCTCCTCCTTTTGCTCTCCCGGCTTTGCTGGATCTCTGCTGTCCCTCATAACAAGTCACTCTCTCCCTTCTGCTGATATCATCTGAACTGTTTATGCTGATGACTTTTCTGTTGTGGTGTTTTCCCTGTGCTGCCTTCTGCGGTCGCTCAGTTTGTCTCATTTCTTCCGGTCCACTTCTCCAAATGGTGTTTACACTAGGAGCTGTGACCGTCTCGACTCATCCTTTCTCCCTTCTGTATGTGTGTGGGGTTTTTTTTTTTTTGCTGTATCATAGCCCTCAGTAGCAGATGGAAATAGCACAGAGGAAGTATCTGCTCTGTATCTGTGTGTGTGCGCGCACAGGCATGTGTGCAAGCACGTTGTCCTTGCACATTCTTGTGTTCCTTCCTTTTTATTTCGGTCAAAAATTGCACAACAATATCTCCAGATAACTGAAAAACACTGTGGTTTCTTAGATACTGAGGAAGTGCACACAAACACACGTACGCTTGCACAGAGTAACGTCTCACCCCGCACGACCTCTTGATTAGCTTCTGTGTCACTGAATTGGCCTGTGAAGCCTGCTCTTGTTGCACCTTTTATCAATCTGTCATCTTCTTCGGTCTCCTGCACGTCACAGGCTTCTATATAGAAAGTCATCATCGTGTATTGTTTTGCATGAGTCACTGCTGGGTTTTTGAAAATGAACATCTGTGTCCTAAAGGCCCTAAAGGTGGCACCATGACAGCTTAAATATGTGTAGTGGAACTAGATAAATACTCGAAAGCACTAACTACAAAAAACAGCTGCATAGTGTTCATGCCAAGCAGCCGATTGTTGCCTCTCCCCATTTTAAGCTGAAGAAAAGCCCTCCTAGGTCGATTTGATTTACAAAATGCTGCAAATTTAGACAAAGATCTTTTACTTCTGTTGAGAAAAAAATTAAACTCTGGGAGTCTATTTAGTTATTTTTATGTGATGTCAAAGGGGAAAAAACAAGCCAAAGCATCACATCGGTTTGCTGTTCTGGTAATTGTTTTTTCTGAAGTGGTGAAATGGCCCAAAACGACTCACGATTACGAAACCTCAGGAGCTGCCTTTGAGTTTGTTTTATCTGACGAGTTAAAAATCACATTAAATTCAAATGTCGATTGTTTGCGTTTTTATATTAAAGCGTTGGAGGATATTTGCATCATGAAGAAATCACTTTTAACAAAGTCGAGCATAGAGTCCACGCACATTATCCTAACATTACATTAAAGCAATTTTAACCTGATTCCATTAGGCTTGTGCATTTAGAGGTTTTGCTTCTCTTCTCTTTCCTGTTTTCCTGCAGTGAGGAAGAAGGCCAGGAGCCTCTGGCTGTGGTTGGCTCCCCCTATTGGATGGCTCCAGAGGTGCTCAGAGGAGAGGTGTATAATGAGAAGGTACTGACAGCTCACTTTCTTCACTTCACTTCAGCTGCATGTTGTTTCAGAAGTCCAAGGTCCGCAGTGGGCGTGATGAGAGCTGCTCAAATAAACAGAGGAAACGGGCAGTGATGTACAGCAATCAATATTTAATAAAGCGGTTATGTGGTTATGTAATTGGTGCACTCGTTGGCCTGGGTTATGACTGTTTTCTGTGTAGCGACTTATTAGAAGCTCCAGTTTGGTATAAACTATATGCAGAATATGGTGCGTATGTACAAAAATAATAACTTGGCTATAAACCACATACTGTTGAAAGCTGAGAGAAATTACGGCAGACTTGTTTTGTCAAGCAAGCTTAACAATGAAAAAGTGACAGACTTTTATCTTGCTGTTTATCCGATCTGAATTTAAAGTACACAGATAATATTAGAAGCCATTCGTAGTCCGCATGCGTGTCTTTCCACTTTATTTGGTCTTATCTTCAGCTGCTGTGTTATCTCTGGCTGATAGACTGTTCGTCCTCTCTCTGCAGGTGGACGTGTTTGCATACGGTATCATCTTGTGTGAGATCATTGCGAGGATACAGGCTGATCCCGACATCCTGCCACGCACTGAGGTACCGATGACGATGTTTTCATCGCCTATCCTGTTTCCTGACACGCTCGTCATCTCACTCGCGCCTCAGTCACAATCTGACCTCTTTATTAAGGAAGTGTGAGGGGGAAAGTTTCTAATAAAGCCATTATTGATTTAATGTTTGTCTCCGCTCAAGGACAGACCCTCAAGCCTGTCGCCATCTGAAGTGCTCCTCCAGAGCGCAATGGTTGTGCAAGCAGCACTGTTAAAATGGCTCCTAAGATTGAGCAACAGGCGAGAGAGATAATTAAAAAATATTTGAAATGATAGCTGCTGTAGATCATTTTAAAATCCTCTGAATGTCATTGCGGGCAAACAGAAAGCTCACTGACCTATTGCTTGAAAATCGAATGTTTAAAGGGCTCAAAAGAAGCGACGTGCAGCGCTGCGCTACCTGGTGTTTAAGTCACCCAACCTCTCATTTTATACCTATTTATTTGTTGTTCTTTATTTATTTTAACCGATTTTAAGTTGTGTTGTCAAACTGGAACATCAGTAAAACTACTCAGAACAGTCAGTGTAGATGGTAAAAACCAAAAAAAATGGAGTATGTGAAAAACATTTAAAGATTTTTGCCTCTTTTCTTTTTTTCTTCTGTTTTTGCTTTGATTTTGTAGTTTTACAGCAGCCTTTATTAACAGCATGATAACATGACATTTATTTAGGACACAGCCTTAATATTAAATCGTAGTATTGTGTGATGCAGACAGGGGGGTCCCATTTGGTCCACTGGATGGTTTTGTGGAAGATCAAACTACTCCAGATTTTGGGAAATCTTTAAGGAAGTGAGATAAAGGGTCTCGTTTACTCAGACTACTCATCTTCTCCAAAAAGCTGTTGGCTCTGGCCAATATTCCAGTTCATTAAATGGTCTTTCTGGTGGAACCTGCTTGAGATCAGAGTGGGCTGCATGTGGCCTATGAGCTAAAATGAGTTTGACATGCAACAGACTGTATTAATCTACTTTAAGACCTTTTGAAGCTATTACAAGAGCACTGCTCCCCCTTGTGGCCATTTAGCAGTACAGCAATTGAAGATTCTGGTTGCAGTCGCTTGTCTCTGTGATAGAAAGAAGATGGAGTAAGGAGACTCTGTTTAAACAAAGTGCTCACATGTACTGAAACAGAACTTATTCTGTTTTGTGTTCTTTCAGGATTTTGGTCTGGATGTGGAGGCCTTTCGACATATGGTGGCAGACTGCCCATCTCACTTCTTGAATTTGGCTATCGCCTGCTGTAATGTAAGAAATGCATTTTATCTCATGTCATATGTGCTGTTAGCTCAGTGCTGCTCACTTTGTCATCTTCTTGACTTGTGCATGATGTAACCTCAAGTGCAGTGCACTGACCAAAGGTTTGAGCTTCAGTACGAGAGATCAAATTGTTTGGATGTTTGAAGGAAAAGTGTCCATTGGCATTTTGTTACAGTTGCCAAGAGCTTGTACACTTGATCCTGTCATCTTTAGATCTAACAGTAGTTATTGACTCTTGTAACTTGAGCTTAAATGCCAAAAATCCAGAGGATATGTTTCAGATGCTTCTACATTTTAGTTTTTTTTTATATTTATAACTGCTGCCTGTTTTATGACCTGTTTTAACTTTCCATCCTTTTCCTCTAATTTGACAGATGAACGCAAAGCTCCGTCCATCTTTCTCCCAAATCGTAGCAGAGCTGGAGAAGAAACAAGCTGAGAGAAAACAGAAGGCCGAACCAGCTGTCAAAGGTGAGCTATTCTGTAGATGCGTCACTGAAGAGAACTCGGTCTCACTTCTGTAAACTAACACGATTGTTCTGCTTTTAGAAGCAACTTCTCCGCCTGTCAGCCCTGTGCGGAGGCGATCCCTCGGCCTGCTGTTAGACCAGCGTCTCTCCCGCAGCAAATCCGACATGCTCCATCCTTCAGAGACGCCGCCTACTGCTACCTTGGCTCCTCCTGCTCGGTTTAACCCCTTCTCCCAGAGGGAGGATCTCAAAGGCGGGAAGATCAAGCTGTTTGACACGCCCAGCAAGTCGGTCATCTCCCTGACCTTCACGCTGCCTCCTCCACCAGACTGCGATGACACCACTGCATCTGATGCGGATGCTGTTGACATGCCCAGGAGGCACAGGCGCTGCCACTCGCTGCCTTGCACGCCTCCTCCTCACCTCACGTCGGCACCGAACACCGTTCTCTCTGAGGAGTCTCCGTCTGAGACGGAAGTGAACGAGGCAACTGAAGAGGACGGTCTTCTAGAAGAGAAGGATGCTTACAGGGCGAGTGATTCAGGTCTCCCTCTGTCTCTCGAGGCGCTGTCGGTAAACATGTTCGACCATGAGAAGGAGGCGGAGCAGCAGCAGGAGGAGGAAGGGAGGGAGGAGGAGCCAATGGACTGCACTAGTTCCCCAGACATGCAAGACAGCACTTCATCTCCTTACTCCAAACTTTCCTCTCCTCCTTCCCATTTCTCATCTCCCTTACAACCATCCAGTCCTGCTTTGTCAAACGGCTGGGGGTCGGCCATCTCTAACGGGCCTCCGTGCCTGCCGCCGCTCTCCAGTTTGGTCAACAACAATGTGGTTGTGAGTCGACCACTGGGCTGGAGCACCGCCACCAACAGCACTCCCACAACCAACAACAACGGCTACCACTCCCCAACAGGAGACCCCGCGGGCTCTTCTCCCTTTGGCTCTGGCAGCGGACACTCTCTGGACCAGGAGGAGGTCATCTCCTCATGTCCTGGCTGCTGCCTGGCTGGCCTCCGGTTCCCCTCAGTGTGTCTGAGAGCTCCTCCACGGCGTAACCCTTACAAGAACTTGAACGGAGACCATGCGGCCTCTCACGGGCTGCTTTGTTCAGGACCCAAGGGCCTGCCGCCCTCCCCCACACCCACAACTACGACCACCAGCCTGGAGCCAGGACTCGCCTTGCCTGGGGTGCAAACATAAACCCTGATTCTTCAACACCAAATGCACACAGAGCAGACGTGCAAACTGCACCAAAAGGTCACATTCTGGGGAATTAAGCAGGTCCTCTTTAAAATTTGCACAGATTTTAACGCAGCAATACTCTGCTTATTTTCCAGACACACTTTTTGGTGCACAGGTGACTCTTAAGTGTTTGGGTCGCTTTACAGAGAGACTCCAAAACCGGCTGATTTTCTCCAACAAAGCCGTGGGACGTAAAACTTTTCAGGCGACGCCCTCTGCTGGACTGAGGGCGGCACAGCCTGTGACGTCAGCCGTGCCTGTATAGATCTGATCGGCAGCGTCCAGAACTGATCAGCATGTAAACACTCCAGTCTGGGATCCACATCAGTTGGATGTTGAATATTTGTATAGATTGATATGTCAGAGGATCCTGGAATGAGGAATGTTCAGCTTAGTATTATTGTTGTTGCAATGATGTTTGGTGCTGAATGAACAGACAGTTTTGCTTTGTCTTTAATTATCAGGTGTATGATGCTCTGCTGAGGTGTGTTTGTGAATTGAATGCAGGTGTGTGTCTGATGGATTCAGAGTGTGTGTGTGTGTGTGTGTGTGTGTGTGTGCGTGTGTGTGATGTACACCATTCTTAAGACTATTTTTGTTGCTGTATGATCTCTGTTGGTCCTTCTGATTGCCTGGTTAAGCACTTCAGCTGTATTATTGTTAATAAGGAAACTGTTTATCATTATATTTGGGAATGAAGGTCTTTGACCTGCTTAAGAGATGTACAGATTCTTATTATTTAAACATGGCATTGAATAAAAAGACAGAATGCACTCATGTCTTTGATCTGCTGTGTCTACTTTGTTTTGGCTGCTTTAGATTCCTGGGGTGTTTCTTA